GTTCAAAATGCACAGTTAACTTGAAAATAAAATTATAAATATTTTTTAATTTTCAAAACTTTAAAGGTAAAAAAGTAACACAAATGCCCATAACTATTATATATCCTTTAAAATAGGTTATGTCTAGAATTATAATCTTTTTTAATATTTTGCGGCTTTTTGATTTTTTCGAGATTGAAAATATTCATATACACATAGATTTTTTCAACCTGATTTTTTTAATGACTGATTTCAATAAGGCAAAAAGTCAATATTTTTTCTAAAATTGCTAAAATTATAAATAATTTAATACTGAATTTTATTTTTATTTTAGAGATGCCACCTTTTTATACCCTACACTACTTTAGTGGTGTTTGTGCTGATGTTTGTAACATACAAAAATATTCGTCCTATACCCACCAAGTATACCAATCGGCTTAGAAACGTTTTCTGAGTCGATTTAGCTATATCCGTCCGTCCGTCTGGCTGGCTGGCTGCCCATGTAAGGTCGCAATTTTCAAGATAATTCGATGACATTTGGCACACAAGCTTTTTTTGACCCAAGGACGAAGCCTATTGAAAATGGTCCATTATTTCACCTAGCCCCATACAACAGGCTTCTGAGCTTATAATTATGTTAAATATAACTGTATATCGATAAAAAGCGGCACAACTAATTTTTATACAAGCCTTGATGACTTTGCCAAATTTCATAAATATCGGACCTCATTTGACGCTGGCTCCCATACAAAGTCCCCTTCCGAAAATTACTTGGATGTACAAAATTAACTTATAAACACAAATATCGCGATGAAATTCAGCACAAGTAAATATTATATAAATATATTCACAAAACTTTATCGGGCTTGGTCCATATTTGTCCCTAGCCCCCATATAAAGCCTCTTTCAGAAAATTAGTTTTTCATCCATAAATTGCTTAAATGTATCGGAACAATGAACTATGTATTATGAAAAATAAATCACATTTAATATCCATAACTGGTGTAGGGTATCATATGGTCGGTCACGCTCGACTATACTTTCATACTTGTTTGTACTTTATTTAGTATTAATTAACTTCTTTAAGTAAGATTTTGGTTACAGTCATTGTTTTATATGGTTTTTTAAATATATTATGATCTAAAATAGATACAAAATTTAAATACACATAAGCATTCCCCACCAAACATTCGATTAAAGTTTAAATCAGAATAGTTAGGTATCGGAAAACTATTAAATTTGTTTATATATCCAATATAACATATGTATAAAAATGTAATAGAATATGTCCACAGTTTGTATGTTCATTACTGGGAACTAATAAATGCTTAAAAGTAGCTAACTTCAGTTAATCATATGTCCAATATATTACTTAATATAACTTCTTATCTCATTATTCCTTCCCTTATCTCAATATTCCTTAAAAAATATTCTAAACAAGATTCTAAGTAATTACTGCTATTATAGTTCATCTTTAGATTAACGATCTGTACAATAATATTTATTGTAATTATAATTTTAATTTATTTAAACATATATAACATTATTCTAATACTAGCTATACCCAGTGTGCTTTGCTACCCTAAAAGCAATATGTGTAAACAAAAAACCCACTTAACGATTTTGAAGTCTCTAACTACAATAGTTTTCCAGATTTACAATATGTTACATATGAGAGATGTCAAGTAAATTATTGCAAGTTCGCCTGTTTTTATCTATCGCCAATTTATATCTATCTATGAAAAAATTTAAGAATATAAGTGTTTCCAAGATACACGAAATTTTGTAATATCATATATGTGGTGCCAAGCCACCCATTGAAAGTCCGCCCGTTATTCTCTAAATGTTCCCATGAATGTCAAAGTTCTTCATGTAAAATTTGAAGATTCTAGCGCTAATAGTTTCTCAGACATAAGAATTTTTCTATTTGATTCATGTGGGGGCTTCAAGCTCCCCACATGAAAGTCCAAAATGTTCAGATGAATACTAAACTAATTTGTGCAAATCAAGTTCTATTGGCTTCCCAAGTAATCGAAATTTTATATTTAATGCATATGGGAGGTGCCAAGTTCCCCACTGAAAGTCCGCCCGTTATGCTCTAAATGTTTACATGAATTTCAAAGTTCTTCATGTAAAATTTGAAGATTCTAGCTCTAATAGTTTCTCAGATATACGAATTTTTCTACTTGATTCATATGGGGGCTTCAAGACACCCCAGGTGAAAGTCCGCTTTTCCCCAAAATGTTCAGATGAATATTTAAGTTCTTCGTACAAAATTTGAAGAATTTCGTTCCATTAGTTTTTCAGATAAACTAATTTTTGTCTTTAATTAATATGGGAGGTGCCTCTCCCCTCAAGGGTAGTCTGCCTACTTTTTGTCCTAAATAATTATATTGACACTAAAGTTGCTCCGACAAAATTTGAGGACTCTAACTGTTATGTTATCTAAAATATACGGCTTTAATTTTTTTTTTAATATGGGCGTGGCTCCTCGCACCACAAAATAAAAAGTAGCCTATTACCTATTCCAGACATACAGGAATACGCTGTAAAAATTTTAATAAAATTGGTTCAGCCGTTTAGTAGTCTATAACGTTCAAACATACAAACAAACACACATTCATTTTTATATATATAGAAGATAGAAGAAGAAGATAGAAGATATATAAAAAATTTGCTTGCAAAGAAAATGAGATACATGAGATGATAACATATCTTATGTGTGCATTGTGTAAAAATCTGCAGTCGAATTGTAAGTATGTATGTATGTATGTATGTACTATGTATACAAATCTAATTATTTGTTAAACATTTCACAAAATTAAAATATGTCTTGGATTTTAGTTTCGCGATTTACTATGGCGAAAAGCGATGTGGTCCATTATTTTTACTCCTGATTCAAAACATTTTCCGCATCATTTCCTGTAATTTTGATAACGAAAACTAATTATGATTTCTTTTAAAATAAAATTTATAATTTTATCGTTTACAAATTGTAAATAAAATCTCAGAAAACATTTAAAAGATTACATTTGAATATTTTTTTACAATATTCCAATTGGCCAGCACTATTTTTAAGCAATTTGGAAGCAATTTTAATAATAATATAAAATTATATGTGAATATAAACAGATATTAACACGTGATGAATCCGTTCGCGTTAATCATTTTGATCGAGGGGCGCAAAAGTTATAGCGGTTTTCACTTAAATATTTAAAAAAATTCTTAAAAATAGTATTTATATATGTAATATTTGAAAAAAAAAAATTGCACATAATTGTAAAAATAATTCAAATTTAGCGCATTAAATACATACCACAAGATTTATTTTAAAAAAATTTAAAAATACACAGTAAGAAATTTCGTTTCAGTAATTTGCTTGTTGCTTATAGTTTTTGAAAAATCGCGAATTAGTAAAATATAAGAAAAAAACTGTTAATATCTGAATTCTACGAGCTTGATTTATAAGGGAATGCAATTAAAAAATTATAGTTTGAAGGAATTAACTATTTATAGAGTGATGCTTTTTGATGCTAGGTACATTTCCCAACCATTGTGTTTCATTATTCATTAAATGTATAAGTCGATGTTTGATATATAAAATCGCAAAAATAATAATAATAATATATATTGTCGCCTGATGGCTCATCAATTTATTATTTTTATTTTCATTTAATTTAAAATATTTTTGTAAATTTAAATATTTTTTTTCGTGGGCTATCCTAATGTTGTTTAATTTTGTCTTATTTACCAAATTGTTAATGATACTTATTGTAAGATCATTGTTGTTGTTTAGTTCATTTGTCCGTTAGGATTTTTTTATATTGTTTTGCATTCCTTTTTGTTCTCATTTGTTTACGAACTAAACGCATTCTTTGTCCCTATATTCTACTGCAGTAGTTTCGTTCAGTTTATTTATTTGGAAATAAACTGTTGTAAAAATACATAGACAAAAGAATTTGTAGGCTCAGTATTAACTGACATTAATATTAAAGTTTAGTTTGTTGGGGATAAAGACTGCGGTAAGTCGCTTAAATTATTTATAAGTTTCTTTTGTAATAATTGTATTTTTTAATAGAAATAAACGGTTGCTCAAATATATGCATCATTAATTTCACATTTGTGGTTCATTTATTTGGGACTTGTTAAATTCGCTGTCCTCAACATAAAGGCTCAGGTCGCAGCCAGCGACAAATTTTATTTCGCATTCCTTGGTGCGGTTGTGTTCCATGTCTACCGGAACAACGAAATTTATTTGAAATCTTGAGCGAAGGTGTTCCAAGGTGCCTGAACAAGATAAGCCTTTTTTTTGATTTGTGGTTCTAAGCTGCCGGAACAAATAAAATATTTTGGATTTTTGATTTGTGGTTCCAAGCTGCCGGAACAAATTGAAATAATTGTGAAGTGGTTCTATATTTGCTGGAACAAAGTGTTTAAAATAATTGTGTGCATTTTTGTGGTTCCTTATATGACGGAACGAGTAAAACTTTTATTAAGCTGAATTTGTGTGAAGTTATTTGCTGTCCTGCCGGAACAAATTTATTTTTTGTGAAATATTTGGAGTGTGTTGCTGTTTATTATTTGTGATTTGTGTGCCCTTTGAAAACGTTTGAGATTCGTAATGCAACGGTCGCCAGCTAGAAAAAGCACTCGTTTGCAGACGGCAACGAGCCAAAATGTGAAAAGTTCCACGCCTGCCGGAACTGAAAGTTTAGCAAATGTGTCTCAAATGCCGTCGGTACAAAATGTCAGTTCTGTCGCCCCCCGGAACAACAACAGCAACTAGTGCCTCCATAAGTGCCCCTAGAGAACCGACACCTGCCATATCAACGCATAACATTTTTAGTTCATCAATTGAAGAGCCCTTAAGTCTGCCGCCGTTGGTGCCCGGTCCTAATGCGAGAACCCAGCCACCACAAGCTATATCGTCTGATAATGAGAACCTGCAACGACAAATTGATATCCTGCAAGCCCAGTTGGCAAACGCTCAACGTGCTTTAAGAGCAAATCAAAATTTAAATATGCCAAGTGTTATTGGACAAAATGCGCCAGTAATTCAAAGTATGAGCAGTGGCCCTGAAGACATGGTTGATCGTCGGAATCCAACGCCATATTCCTATGGTAGCCAGTCAGACCAGTTGATGACATCTCAGCCTCTTTTTGTTTCCCCTGCTACAGCGTCCATGCCAGTACAACGCAAACTTTATGATCTGCCTGAATTTTGTGGTACTGCCGAGGACTGGCCAATGTTTTTGTCTGCCCTTGAACATTCGACAGCCGCATATTCGTACAATAATTTTGAAAATTGTTTGAGATTGCAGAAGGCTTTGAAAGGTGAAGCCAGAGAGTGTGTGAAGTCGTTGCTCATCCACCCAAATAATGTGCCAACAGTTATAGAGCAATTAAAGCTACAATATGGTCGCCCAGAGTTGCTTATTGGATGCCAGTTGCAACAGATGAAGGAAGTTCAGCCCATAGCAGAAAACGCGATCGATAAATTGGTGCCATATTCCATTAAGGTCAGAAATTTAGCAGCATTTTTGGAATCTGCCAATGGTCATCAACATTTGTCGAATCCAACTCTGATGGAGGAGTTAGTCCAGAAGCTTCCAATGAGTAAACGTTTGGATTGGGCCCAGTTTGCTTCAACTTTACCTCAGTTGCCGACTATTTCGGATTTTAGTACCTGGCTCCAGCGTGTTGCAAATTTGGTAAGAAGTGTGCAAATAAGTAGTTCAAGTGGCGGTAGATCTAGCAGTGATCCAAAAAGAAAAGTGGTTTTATATGCTTCTGATGGCCCAGAACGGCAGTTAAAATGTTTTTATTGTGTTGGCCCACATAAAATTTTTAATTGTAAGAAATTTATAGAATTGAGTGTGCCTAATAGATGGAGTGAAGTGAAGAGATTGAAGTTGTGTTTTTCGTGTCTCAGTGGTGGCCATTCATGTAAAGACTGTCGTCGGCGCAAGCAGTGTCCCATGGAAAAGTGCCAAAGAAATCACAATAAATTATTGCATGAAACTAAACCTAATGAACCAAGCGAACGATCCGTAAATGTGCAGCCAACAGAGAGATCTTCAACAGTCGAGCCAGTGCTTAGTTGTGTTTCCAGAGCTAGTGAAAAAAGTGATTTGTTGTTCAGAGTGCTCCCAGTGGTTCTTTATGGACCAAATTGTTCTATTGAAACTTATGCACTCCTAGATGAAGGTTCTTCGGTGACAATGATGGATAGCTCTTTAGTGAGGCAGCTTGGACTGCAAGGTCGACAAAGTCAATTGAATTTGAGTTGGTATGGTGGTAAATCAGCACAAGAAGCTGTCATGGTGGTGGATCTTCATGTGAGCGGTGTTAATAAGAAGAGGAAATACGCATTGAAAAATGTGTATGGTGTCTCGAATTTGAAGTTGCCTAGTCAGAGCTTTAATGCGGATTTAGTAAAGAATTGTGGTGTTCCTTTATGCTCCTATGAATGTGTGGCTCCAAAGGTACTGATTGGTTTAGATCATTGCCATTTAGGATTGCCCGATGAAATAGTCCCTTTGGAAGATGCTGGTCCATATGCTGCCAATACGCCTCTTGGATGGGTTGTTTTTGGAAACGTGAAAATAGGTCGCCCTGGAACACAAACTTGTTTGCTGACAACACAGTTGGATAATTTGAATAATTTGGTGGCAAGTTATTTTGAAACAGAAAATTTTGGTGTTAAGGCTCTACCGGTGATTAAGTCAAGAGATGATTTGCGTGCACGAGAGATATTGAGAAATTCGACGAAGAGGGTTGCCGGAAGATTTGAATCCAGACTACTATGGTGTAATGATGACGTAGTCCTGCCGGATAGCTATTCCATGGCACTTAATCGATTTTTTGGATTGGAAAGGAAAATGAAAAATAATGCGGATTTTGGTGTGGCCTATAAGAAAATAATAAGTGAATATTTGAAAAAAAATTATGTACGCAAATTATCATTGAGTGAAGTTGATACATTTCATCCGAGAACGTGGTACTTGCCCCACTTTGGTGTCGTTAACCCTAATAAGCCAGGGAAAATTCGTTTGGTGTTTGATGCGGCAGCAAAGGTGGAAGGTGTCTCATTGAATTCAAAGTTATTGAAAGGCCCTCAGCAGTACAAACCGTTGCCATCCGTTTTGTTTAATTTCAGAGTCGGTTCCGTAGCTGTATGCGGAGATATAAAGGAAATGTTTCATCAAGTTGTTGTTGCTGAAGAAGACAGGTGTTCGCAGAGGTTCTTGTGGCGAGATAATGAAAGTGGTCCACCGGAAGTGTATGAGATGCTTGTGATGACGTTTGGAGCTGCCTGTTCACCCTGTATTGCCCATTATGTGAAGGAAGCAAATGCAATGGAGTATCGGGATCGTTTCCCTAGAGCCGTGAAGTCAATTCTGGATCATCATTATGTAGATGACTTTGTAGACAGTTTTGTTAATCCGTCAAAAGCCATTGAAATTGCCGTACAAGTTCGTGAAATACATAAAGCTGCTGGGTTTGAAATGCGTAATTTTACATCGAATTCATCAGAGGTGGTTGTGGCTCTCGAAGGCAGTTTAAATCATCAGGTCAGTTTCTTAGGTGGCTTAAAGGAGTTGGACGGTTCAACTGAAAAGGTTCTTGGCATGCTTTGGGATCCAAAGGATGACGCGTTCAAATTTGTTTTGAAATTCCATCGTGTGAATTCGGACGTGATCAATGGTAAAAGTTGTCCCACAAAGCGTGAGTTGTTATGTGTCGTAATGTCCATTTTTGATCCAATTGGTTTTTTGTGCCATTTTATGATAACTGCCAAACTTTTGATGAGAGAAGTCTGGAGACATAGAGTACTTTGGGACGAGATGTTGCCCGTGTCATTACAAGCGATGTGGAATAATTGGCGCCAAGAGCTAAGAAATGTTGTCCATGTAAAGGTTCCACGATGGTATTTTGGAAATGGTTTGCCCTTGGAGTTAGAGCTGCATGTTTTTGTTGATGCCAGTGAAGATGCCTTCGGTGCAGTGGCCTATTGGAGATATACAACATCTGATGGACAAATAGGAGTGTCGTTTATATCTGCCAAATCGAAATGTGCCCCATTGAAATGTATGACCATTCCCAGATTAGAACTACAAGCCGCCGTTTTGGGGACCCGATTGATGGACACTATAATTAAGGAACACGATCTCAATGTTTCTCGTCGAATCTGTTGGAGTGACTCTACAACTGTCATTAGCTGGATTGGTTCTGAAAGTAGGAGATATAAACCATTTGTTGCCCATCGAATTGCCGAAATACTTGATTCGACACGCCCAACTGATTGGAGATGGTTGCCTACGGATCTAAATGTTGCCGATGACATTACAAGAGCTAAAAATGAAGTTGATTTTGCCATTGAAACACGTTGGTTCCAAGGGCCACAATTTTTGTATGAAAACGAAGCTGATTGGCCGAATAAGAATTCTGAGAAATCTGATGATTTGTGTGAAGAAGAACTACGCCCCAAATTTGTCATGCTGGTTAGTACAAATTTAGTTATTGATTTTAATCGTTTTTCTTCATTTCTCAGGCTTAAACGTACTATGGCTTGGGTTCTGAGATTTATTAATCGTTGCCGAAAAGATGATAAATATAATGGTTCGAGATGCCTATCTGCTGAAGAGTTAAGGGTTGCTGAAACTAGTCTGTGTCGTCTGTCGCAAGAAGAGTGTTTCGCCCTTGAAATAAACATTTTAAAATCTGGTCGTTCTTTAAAAAAGGAAACCGAGTTATTTTCGCTTTCGCCTTATTTTGATGAAAATAATTTACTTCGAGTGAGCGGACGTATTGATGCTGCGAGTTGGTTGCCTTTAGATGCTAGGCACCCCATTATTTTGTCGCCCTGTCACCGCTTTGCACAACTATTTGTTGCCCATGTGCATAATAACATGAGACATCAAAATCTTGAGGCTACCATAGGCGAAATAAGGAAAAGGTTCTGGATTCCACGACTACGAAAGCTGTTGAGTAAGACCACATCAAATTGCAACATTTGTAAGATTCGACGTGCCGTTCCAGTGGCTCTTTTTATGGGATCATTGCCAAGTGATAGACTAACTCCATACGTCCGTCCATTTACTTATACTGGTGTGGACTATTTTGGCCCAATAAACGTGACTGTTGGTAGACGTCATGAAAAACGTTGGGTTGCCCTGTTTACGTGCCTCACAATCAGAGCAGTACATTTAGAAGTGGCTTATGATCTTTCGACTGATGCGTGTATTTTGTGTATACGGAATTTTATAAATCGTCGTGGCACCCCGTTGAAGATTCGTAGCGACAACGGAAAGAATTTTGTTGGAGTTAACCAAGAAGCCCAGCGATTTGATGAAGTTTTTGATCTTGTTAAAATTGAAGATGAGTTGTCCACAAAGGGCATTGAATGGCAGTTTAATTGTCCACATAATCCTGCAGAAGGTGGTGTATGGGAGCGAATGGTTCAATGTGTTAAAAAGGTTTTAAGAGTAACTCTTAAAGAAGTCGCCCCAAAAGAGCACACATTGCAAAGTTTTTTAATTGAAGCCGAAAACATCGTAAACTCTCGCCCATTGACTCACTTGCCTGTCAGCCCTGAAGACGAAGAACCATTGACGCCAAATCATTTCTTGTTGGGATCTACAAATACAGCTCAAACACCAGAAGGTATTGAAATAACATAGCCAGTGGTACTGAAAAAGCAGTGGCGAATTGCTAGACAGCTACGAGATCATTTCTGGAAAAGATGGATTATTGAATATTTGCCCACACTTACAAGACGGTGCAAATGGTGTGAATATACCAAGCCTGTGGCTCCGGGTGATCTTGTACTAATTTGTGATCCAGCTGTTTCCCGTCGAGATTGGAAGAGAGGTCGTGTCATAAATGTGTTCCCTGGCAGTGATGGTGTAATACGGAGAGCTGATGTCCAAACAAGTAGTGGAATACTTAAACGCCCGGTTTCCAAACTAGCAGTCCTTGATTTGTCCTTGAATGTCGCCTGATGGCTCATCAATTTATTATTTTTATTTTCATTTAATTTAAAATATTTTTGTTAATTTAAATATTTTTTTTTGTGGGCTATCCTAATGTTGTTTAATTTTGTCTTATTTACCAAATTGTTAATGATACTTATTGTAAGATCATTGTTGTTGTTTAGTTCATTTGTCCGTTAGGATTTTTTTTTATATTGTTTTGCATTCCTTTTTGTTCTCATTTGTTTACGAACTAAACGCATTCTTTGTCCCTATATTCTACTGCAGTAGTTTCGTTCAGTTTATTTATTTGGAAATAAACTGTTGTAAAAATACATAGACAAAAGAATTTGTAGGCTCAGTATTAACTGACATTAATATTAAAGTTTAGTTTGTTGGGGATAAAGACTGCGGTAAGTCGCTTAAATTATTTATAAGTTTCTTTTGTAATAATTGTATTTTTTAATAGAAATAAACGGTTGCTCAAATATATGCATCATTAATTTCACATTTGTGGTTCATTTATTTGGGATAACCGCATAAATTGATGGGGTAAAATCGTAGACAAGATTTTAACAAATATTCTGGAAATAAAAAGAACGGGGGGTTAGATTGATTAATGTAATAGATGTTTATTACTGCGGTATACGCACCTTTTGTTTCGGGTTTTAGAGCACAAAACAAGTTTGTTACAAAAAAATTATTTTCTTTAAACTTACATGTATAACACTTAGCTACAAAGAGAGCAAACAGAACAGACAAATCTTCATAGTAATTGGAAGTTTGCCGTACATTAAGGGACATTTAAATACGATCACTAAATTACATTACGTGTCGCATAAACATCCCGCCCCCCTTGCCATTATGCAACCTCAGTATTAAGGATTCAAATATACAGGTTTCTAACAGAATTTACAAACATATATATATATATATATATATATATATATATATATATATATATATATATATATATATATATATATATATATATATATATATATATATTTCTATTAAAAAATACAATTAGATATAGATATAGATATATATATATACATGTATAACACTTAGCTATTTACAAAGAGAGCAAACAGAACAGACAAATCTTTAAAAATTTATTTGTACAACAACGAAAAGGTAATTAGTACTTTAAAATAAGAAAATAAATAAAATATAATTATGCAAAGGAATTCCAAATTTTACATAATTAAGGTAAAAGGAAATAAAAATAAAATAAGAAAATAAATAAAAAGTATTAGTTTGTACACAGCAAAAGCTAAGTAGATAGTTGATTCAAATGCCAAATCTTCCAATAATAGTCCAGCCTAGAACCGTATCCTGTGCCATTGGAGTACTAACAGATTCTGGCTGAAAACCAGCCCGGATAAGGCGAGGATATATATCAGCCCCAAGCACGAAGTTAATGTCGAAATTTGCAAAAAAATATGGATCTGCCAAACGAAGATTCGTGTAAAGGTATGTTACTCGAGAATCGATTTTCTCCTTTGGTTGTCTTCTTGGCAGATCGTCTACCACCATTGCCATTATACTGAATGTTATGCTCTCTTCAAAGCGTGAACGAAATCTTATTTTACAGAATATATCAGATCCAATTTCTTCTTTTACTAGCTTATGACGATCTACCAGAAAACTGGCAATGGAACTGACCTCAGCGCAGGGGTTTAGAAGTCCTCTGACGCTGCTATATTTCTCCCCCAGTTCCATTTTTACAATAACCGTTGGGAGCAGGGTACTTGAACGTATATTGGGGCCTGGTTGGTTGCTGGCTTCATTGATGGTTTGCCTCCTTTCGTGTAAACGTTTGTGGCGTTGGAGCAGAGTATGGTGTTTGCCCTGACATTGTCGGCAACGGTCTGAATTGCGACAGGATGCAATCATATGTGAATGGCCTAGGCAATTCTCACAATACTTATAACGTTTTACGACCTTCAGCTTTTCGGATACGTTCATGGCTTTAAAATTGAGGCACTTTCGGAGAGGATGATCCTTACGACATAGACGACAATCATACGAGGAATGCTGCTGACGTTTGTGATGGTGGTTATGACGTCTTCGGTTTCTGTCCTCTAGTGGTGAGACACTTCGGCGACGTTGGTGGGGCATCGTGTTTGCTGTGAATAAAATAGAAAAGATTTAAATGTGATTTTCGGATTTGGGGAGTAAAACTAATTTGACTATTGGGCTAGTAACAATGCCATTGGCAGTTCTTACTTCGGCGACTCTAACTCGAGAATCTGAACCACGAATAATGTTTTCAATGCGCCCAAGACGCCATTGATTGGGGGGTAGATTATCTTGTCTAATGACGACTAAATCACCGATAGCGTAATCACGCTGAGGAAATTTCCACTTAAACCGTTTGTGAAGTTCTTTGAGGTATTCCTCTTTCCACCTTTGCGCAAAATGATGATGAAGGACCTTTAGTTTTTGCCAGCGATTAACATAACTCAACGAGTGGGTTGTTAAGTCAGGTTCTGGGGGAGATTATAAAGGACTACCAATAAGGAAATGTCCGGGGGTTAGCGCACATAGATCCGTGGGGTTTTCACTACTAGGACTGAGTGGCCTTGAGTTTAAACAAGCTTCTATACGAGCTAACAAGGTGGCGAAGGAGTCAAATGTAAAATTCTGACTATGAGATATTCGTTTCAAATGCATCTTGAAACTTTTCACTCCGGCTTCCCAGTGTGGTGGTTTGTCAAAATAACAAAAGTAAATTAATTAAAGAGTTTGTTTTGTAACCGGCAGTGTTTGCCGTTGGCTACGCTATTGCTTTTGCCGATCTTACCTTAATAAGGGCAAAAGGAGATTTTCTGAATAAAATTCAAGGCAATGTAGTTGCCGATTTGAGTCTTAG